GTTCAAAATTCTGAGTATGTTGCACGATCATAATTGAGCCACGTTGTAACTAATTACGACCTAATGCTAATTTTGATTTTTAGCTGGTATTTTTTATACGTGCGTGTGACGACAAACCGAATCTCAAATCATTTACGTGCGTTTTAATCGTGAAATCGAATACTGTCGTCACAATGACACGCGCACATCTCACGAGAAAATCTTTTGAGGTTATTTACGTTCGGCTTACTGCTGTTCGAGTGTAATCAAACAAGTTTGAAATTATCAACAGTATTGGCTTGCAGTTGTTCTGTGGAATATTTGCAATTCTAATGTGTTTGTCCTTTAATTCTAGACGAAATCAAAGTCTTTTCTGTTTCCCTATTAAGTACTGGCACGTCTTTTTTTTTGTGTATTATATAGTTATTGCTGTTGCATTACTAGAAGATATTACCGGAATATTAGGTTTGGCTATGGCGATGTGACTGGGTGCTATTTCAGACATGTTGGATCTGCTGGATACTGATTTTGTCGTTTTAATTGTCATAGATGTTATAGTTATATTTTGAAAATAAATTGGCGACAGCTGGGTGTGGATGCAGATGAAAAGACATGAACACCCACACTCACATCACACCTCAGCCACATCCACACCCTAACAATTGGAAATAAACTTCAAAATAATGATATAAGAATTCATCGACGAAAACAATTAAATCCTAAAAATAAATATTGTTCAAGATGTCAACATGAATCTGCACATCGATCAGATTATTTACATCATATGAGAAAAGTACATCAAGAATAATTTGCAATTATATTGAATAAAAATCGTACATCTGAACAAAAGAATTTATTCAAGAATAAAATTAAAAACTATTTTTATTTATTTTTTTTATATATCGCGTAATAAATCTCATGTTAAAACAAGTACTTTAATAAGTAATCAATCAAGTAAATAATTAATAATTCAAATTATAATAATTTCCCTTGTTGTGTTTCTTTTATATATAGCAATTTGTCCCGACACAGATAATGGAATGGAACAAGATCCAATGCAAGTTTTAGTTAATCAATGAGATATCGGAGAGAAGGTCGGTTATCTCCGAGGTCAGCATCCAAATTAAATTTTGAACCAATCAGCAAAATAAAATGTGATATATGTAATAAATTTTTTCGTACCAATTACATTAAGGTTCGTATATGTCATGTTGGTATTTTTTCCTGATAGAAAAAAAGGGGTAATTTACATGAGCAAATAAACGTCGTGTGTAATTACCAATAGATGACTGAAGTTTCAATATTTTTTTTTAATTTCAAGAACAAGAGGTTATTTCATTAGCGAGCATCATAGTCTTCTTTAACTCTAGGACTACCAAGCGGAGTCCAAATGAACCCCACCATAGGAAACGAACATTCAGAACCTGTTTGTGATGAGCACTCTATTCAACGAATTTTTTGTATTACCTGTTCTAAATAAATAAAAACTATAATTCTAATAATTTCTTTACAAGACTGAAGAGGAAAATAATCTAATTTGGGAAAAAATATCGGTTCAGCAATCAAAATCCTAGAATACAAATAAATATCATCATATTATTTCCAAAAATAAGCTTGGTAGTTCTAAGGTTAATCACTATACTCCGCAATCTAAGAACGATGAATCTTTGATGACAAAACAAAACAATGCCAATTAATAACTATGAAGATACCTTCATTGAAAAACTCTTATCTGAATAGTGCGACGTTTCAGTTTGTGTAGCAGATTCCCATTTATATATAGCTTTTACAGTATTAAAAAAATATGTGATTACCTCGACATAAGATCATGAACATACAACATAGAAACTACTGGTACATGTTTCCATATGATCTTCTTAGGAGGTACTCAAAAGTCACGTCATCAGAAAAAAGGATCGATACTGAAAACATCTGCTTGAATAGTAGAAGGTGTGTGATTCGAATCTCACAAAGAATATCTTTTTCTCCGTTCAGTCACATTCAGTTAGTGACTCTCATAGGCTCTAGGCATATTGGAGTTTACAGCCTACTAAATACCTTCGATAATACTGTTATAATCACCTGATACAGTATATAAGCCATAGATTTGTCACGTCGATGTATTTTTCTTCTAATGATCTAGAAACATAATGAAAAGGTCAATCACGTACTTTCGCAATAGTTTCTTATTAATGTCTATTCTTAACGTTATATATGAAGTAGAAATTATATTCTATAATTAAAATAAGCTATTGAAGATTCATTTTTTATAAATTACATTCATTTAGAAACACAAAAGACGAACTCATCATGTTACAGACAATTTTTCTTCAAATAAATTAAATGATGATTTAAGTCCAAAAAACTCTATTAACAATGAAAGTATCTATGAAATTCAATCAATAGCTAGTGAACCATCGGCAACTACTACAAATCCACCATCAGCAATAACAATAGCTGATTTAGATACTGATGAAATGCCAATTCGATTTCGTGAATGTTTTATATTCATATAAAATATTATGAATAAAATTTTGTTTTATTTTATCTTCTTATTATTATCTAGAGAGATGGAGATAAACCAATTGTTTTTTCTATAACATGTCTTGAACGTTATGAATTAGTAAGTTATTCGACTACAATATTCAATATATAATCATATTGAAATACTCTAGGATAGAGTTGATGAATTTCTACGAAAATTTTCATCTCGCGCTACACAAACAGCATCAATTAATTATGAAACAACGCATTTAATAACAAATGATGATAAACATACATTACGTTCATCATTATCAATGAAATTAATTGAAGCTATAGCTAATCATTGTTTTCGTGTTTCATATCGTTGGTTAATTGATTATATTAAATATGATCGAATTGTTGATAAAGATGCATATGAAATTGAAGGTGATGATACATATTATCATTCTCAAGATGGTCCAAAGCGTTCACGTTCAATTGATGAACATCATTCATTTTTTGAAAATATATGTTTTATGATTAAATGTACGAAAAATAATGATATTAAAATGACAAATGATCTTTTACAAGATTTAATCACAATAGGTGATGGGCGAATAATAACATGCGTGACACAAGAGGTTTACTTGATCAATTTGAAATTGTTGTTCTCTGTGATAAATTATGTGCATCAGAACGACGTCATAATTCTGATCAATGTCGTTCATTAGGTATACATTTTGTTTCATCCGATTTTCGTTATATGAAGAAACTCCATTACAATTGAAATTTACTTATTTATTTTGTTTTGTCGTTTTTTTATCAAATATTTTTTGTGTACAAAAAAAAATATAAATGAAGATTTATTTGGTTAAGAATGAACTCTATTATTTGCTTGTAATTTTATTCTTTTATTGTAATAGATAATAATTTTAAAAAAAACAGAGGTCTAATAAAAAAAAAATATGACGACGACAGCAAGTACATCGTCAAATTTACCTGATAAAGATCAAATTCGTATACATGCTCAACGTAACGGTTCGATTGAAAGACAAAGATTTAATGCACTAGTTTGGAGACAATTATGTAAATATGATGGTGGAGAAGAATGTCAGACATTTGTTGCTTATAGAAGTCTTTGTATTGAACAGTATAATCAAATAACAGGTATCACTGTTAATGAATCAAAACGTAGATAATTAATTCAACAATCAGCAACTGCTGCTGCATCATCAAAGGCAACAATGATACCATCAAAAATTCGATGTTGGTAGTATTATTATTAATATCAAAATTTTCTTAGAATGANGATTTTCTTTATATAAAAAAAATCCATTATAATTGAAATTTACTTATTTATTTTGTTTTGTCGTTTTTATATCAAATATTTTTTGTGTACAAAAAAAATATAAATCAAGATATATTTGATTAAGAATGAGCTCTATTATTTGCTTGACTTGTAACTTTATTCTTTTATTGTAATAGATAATAATTTAAAAAAAAACAGAGGTCTAATAATAAAGAAAATATGACGACAACAGCAAGTACATCGTCAAATTTACCTGATAAAGATCAAATTTGTGTACATGTTCGACGTGACGGTTTGATTGAAAGACAAAGATTTAATGCACGAGTTTGTAGACAATTATGTAAATATGATGATGGAGAAGAATGTCAGGCATTCGTTGCTTATAGAAGTCTTTATGTTGGACATTATCATCAAACATCAGATATAACTGTTAATGAATCAAAACATAGACAATTAATTCAACAATTAGCAACTGCTGCTGCATCATCAAAGGCAACAACAACAGCAACAATGATACCATCAAAAATTCGATGTTATTAGTATATTTATTAATATCGAAGTTTTCTTAGAATGAAAATTATTTTATTTTACTTTTAGCTATTGAAACACCTTTAACTTTTGGTCTTAAAAGTAGGTTATTGATTTGTTTAATGATGTATTTCTTTTGTGTTTGAATTCTAAATAGATTGACGACGGAAAACAGCACAACCAAATTGTAAGTGGTATTAATATTATTAAAGCATTTTGGCGCGTATTGAATGGTATATAAGAAATCAACATTGGCTCAAATTTTGATGTTCTCTAGGTGCATAAATTGTTTATCATCTTTGAAGAATATAGATGGCACTCATAGATATTGTGGTTCTTAAGATAAAATCATGCAAATTTTGTTTTTAAAATGAATTTGATACAGTTATTGGTTCTCTTCAATCATCTATAATCAATAGTTTTCTTCATACTTAAAGATGATTCGTTTTTCTTAGATCTAGATTATATCTTGACGATATTTTAACAATACGGAACGACCCTTACCAAAACTGTTATATACCTATAATCAGCACAGCATCCCCGATGAACTGATACACAATAACTCTTTTATAAATAGAAAAAAAACTTGTTAGCCTCCAGATCATTGGCAGTGGATACGGAAATAAGGTGACAGGAAGGAAATCTGCTATTTGTATTACTTCTTTTTCAAAGTTTTATTTAGAGTATTCAGGTTTGCTTTATAAATAAAGCTCTAGACGACTCTTTAAATCTCTTATGTCCATGTCACTGTAGTCTCCTCCAGGGATCTGAAGACCAAAATTTTTTTTTCTATTTATTAAAAAAGTAATTTTTATCAGTTCATCAGCAGTGCTGTGTTACTAATAAATACCATATAGTGAATACCATATACATCAGAATATGACTTTAACGTTGATATCTTATATACCATTCGATGCGCCGCCAATTGCTCTCTTAAAATTATAGATATGATATCCTTTCAAATGCAAGCACTAGTTTTTGCTTTGAATTTCATCCTAAAATCAAAGGATGCCCATTTTATATCTGTTCGAAAAATATTCTTATGAGTATTTATTATCCCTTTGCTCTACTAATCAATAAATTAATCAGATATATCATATTATTCTTATATGATTTAGCATCAACATCTATAAACAAACAATCATCGCAAATATCCTCTACAACTCTAGTCAATAATAATAGTAATAAGCGTCGAAAGTCAAATGAATGGGTTCTTCTTAAACGATGTCGATATGATTTAACTCAAAATAGTATGATCCATGTTTCGTGTTATAAGAAAATCGAATTTGTTTGTCTTTTTTCTAATAATCTTAGTACCACCTATTCAATCAATTTTAGTTAATACATCAACAACTATAGATGAGTCAACTGCAACATCCGATGTAAGATCATGGATGAAGAATATGAATTATTCATTTTTTTTAATATATATTTAGTCTAATCAAGCATGTTCATCTGCTAGTTCAATTGATAGTCATGCTGATGATTATATTTTGGCTCAAAAGTCAATTTCAATAACTACATCTCGCCTAACTGATGAACAAATGATAAGAATAATCGAAAAAAAAGAAAACCAATTATTATTATTGTTATGAATCGATTATTTCAATCAGGATCGTCTTGATCAATTTCTTCAACGCTTTAATATTCACTATTCGGATGAAATCGATAAAAACACAACACATTTAATAACTGATAATACAACAAGTCCATTTGTTTGTGCTTTTTCATCAAAAGTTGTTCATGCATTAGCACGCCATTTAACTGTTTTATCAATACGTTGGATTGATGAATGTCTTCACATTGTGAAATACGTGGCGATTTAATATGTTCAACAATGTATCATGGTGGTATGCAACGTTCACGTCTTATTCCACGAAGACATTCGTTATTTTCTAAACATATATTTATGCTTAAATGTAATGGTGTACAAAATGTAAATATCATTTTAATAATTTTTTTTCAAAGAAAAAAATATGGTGAGTGTAAGTTTTGAAATTCCCTCGTTAAATCACTCTAAAACATTCCAAAGTCTTTCTCGAAATTTGAATGACTGAAATACATTTGTAAATGCTCTCAATAGTGCAGATTTTGATTTTTGTGCAGATAAAAATACATATTCAAGATGCCCGGGATCAAGAGAAATGTTCCAGAAAGTGCTAGTTGCCGATACAATACAAAAACAAGTATTGAAGAATTTTTAAGTGTGATACCAATAAATTCTGGAATAGTACTCTTTAGACCGGGACTGTTACCATATTAGATTTATGAAGACGATAACCAAGCCTTCGATCTTGAAGTCTTCTCTTAAAAAGTAAAAATTTTGAAAAAAAACATTACCATGTTCGACCGATAAATAAGTGTTTATAAATATATATATTTTTTTAAATTTATTTTTAAATAAGTTGTGTACTAATAAGTCTATATGATTATTCTCCTGTTAGATTCATGATCACTTAAGAATTTTTCTAAGGTATCAATGAGATTCGATTTATTTTGTTTTTGCCTATAGTTTGTTTTTCATCTCTAATGTTAGTATTTCTAAGCAAAAAAGTACTCTAACTTTCGTCGAGATATATTTGTTCAAAATGAAGATTGCAACTCCACAGTTTGTTTTTCATCTCCAACGTTAGGATAGTAAGCAAACAAAAATATTCTAACATAAGGAAAGACTTCTATCTTAAGAAGAATACAGCTCCATTGTTCATTTTTCATCTCCAATGTTAGGATACTCAAGCATAAAAGTATTCTAACATTATTAAAAGCTTTTATTCCAAGAAAAAGACGAATACAGCTCTATAGTTTTTTTTTCCATCCCAAATGTTAGGATTTCTAAGCAAAAAAGTACTCTAACTTTCATCGAGATATATTTCTTCAAAATGAAGAATACAACTCCATAGTTTATTTTCCGTCTCCAATGTTAGAATATATAAGCGAAAAAATATTCTAACATTAGGAAAGGACTGTGTCTTAAGAAGAAGAATACAGCTCCATAGTTTCGGTTTTATCTCTAATGTTAGGATATTCAAGTAAAAGAATTATCCTAAAGTTAGTAAGCAACTAATTATTGAACTTGAACTTTCGTTTATCGCTCCAAAGTTCGTTTTCTATATCTAACGTTAGGATTTTTAAGTAAA